TTTTCTCAGTTCCCGTGAATCACATCGATTCTAAGTGAATTAAGAGAAAATGAGTGGGAAATGACCACTCTAAATGGCGATATTGCAAAATAATCGATACCTGGGTCGTTTATCACGTTCCAAAAAAAGTAACTGAAAAATCATTGGAACTCTCAAATCAGTAATATGATCGATACGTTTCGTCACCTCTACTGTACAGTCAAAGCGATCATTTATATCTAACGGCTCCTCAGCGAACATGTATTCGACTGTTTTGGTTATGGCGGTGTCTGTAACAGAATATCAGATCTTGGCTAGGATAGAACTCATCTTCAGTTTTATTATTATGGGATGATTTCGGACAAGAAAACAACAGGCTTCAACGTTTGTTTCAAGTTATATATGTAACAAAATAAAATCGACGGTTTCATATAAACTTAAACTTAATTATAAACTTGCAATCATATAGCGAGTGCCGTTCAACAGGTCTCTTCTCAAATTTGCACTTTTATAGATCAACAGCAATACCGCTATATGGTTTCTCATCAGATAAAATTTCAAAGTTCATTATATTGCCAAATGAGTAACATTCTTCAGCTGGAAAAAAAGCGATTAAAAGATTGAAATCAAGACCTGGCAACAAAACTGCTGAGGGCATCACTGCATTAGAAGATCCTGAATTCTCGCTCTGTATTTGTGGTTTATATAATTTTGTTGACTTGATTTTGAAGCGAATCTTCAATTTGATGATTATTATTACATGTAAGTCATTTGATAGAAAGAGGAATATTCTCAGATGTTGTTGAAGGTGATGATAGAGTGAAATAGGAGGTACCTTATAAAGCCCTGTTCTGACGGCATCGATATGATATAACTTGTCAAAATGTATGTTGATTTTGAAAACAGGATTCAATTCGGCCAACATTGCTATATTTTTCGGAAGTTCTTCAGCGCTAAAAATAGCCCAGAATATGTATCAGAGAAGGTTAAAATGAGGACTAATATGATTCACGATTACTTGAAAACTGAATTTCGCGATACTGTTCTGCTCCTGAATGGTCGGGTGTAAAAGTTATAGGGAAAATTTCTTCATAAGTAACAATGAATAAGGAAAAACTCAAGAAAAAAGTAAGATTTTTTAAGAATGAAAAAATTGAACAATTTAGAATAAATATAAGAATAATTGATACGATAAATGACAGATGAATATGTGCATGAAGCTGAGAAAAAAGTCCAAAATTTAGGAAATAAATAACGACAACAGTGAAACGTTGGTTAAAAATAACTTGTGAAAATATTGGAAGCACTTAATACGGTATTTTGCAGAACCAGCAATATGATGAGATTTAAAAAAAAAGAAACCTGGCAATGAAAGGTTCATCAAAACTAAACGATAATAAAAGTGAATGACGGTAAGTTAGTGAAAAGAACGACTGAAAATATGGAAGACCAAAGTTAACTACTAAAAGCATATAATGGACGCAGCGGCGCTCAGCGCACTGAACAATTGCAGATATTGAGAAAAATCCAATCGAAATCAACATCAAAATATTTTTGGCCGAAAATTTTAAGGGCACACTGGCATCAGTAAAGAATGCAAGATCAATTGGGAGAGTTTTTTTTTGCACAAAAGATTCAGCGTAAGCGAAATTGGTGTTCTCTTATCATTTCATAAATACGGTAAAAATAGTATCCAAGCAAGCATCCAGGCTCCAGTATCGTTGCGTGATGACAACGAAAAACAGGAAATATTGAAAAATTATTTCAGTAAAGAATCTATCCTCGATGAACGGTCATCACCGAATGATCCGTTTCTCACACTTTCCAAGTAAAGTGGACCGAATTCCAAGCAATGTTCTTGTGCTTGGCTGGAAAAATATTGTGTTTTCTATTATTTTCACTTTGAAACGTTTCTTTCTTGACTGGTGGATACAATCGTTATGTTAGAAAAGGATTTGCTCTAGCTGTTATGCGTTAGAGGAGAGTATCAAAATGTTGTAAATTATCATCTAGTCTTCAACTGTTTTTATCGCTATCATCTTGATTTCGGACTGTAAGTTCAACTTTCTCCCTGCATCGCTTTATAACGTTTTCGTAAAAGCATTAGACGAGAGGTCAAACATCGTCTTTTTGTTGCTTTAAGAAATCAATTAACAATTTGAAGCATTTCTGAACAGTTAAACCAACCGTTCCGTTTTCTAATGTCGAGTACTGCATATAAGCGATCAAGCTTATTCTATAGGTGAATAACTGCAATAGGGGTTCTCACTTTACGCAATAATTGCACACTCGTCGATACTGTCTACTAGTGGGCGAGAAGGAAATCGGAATAAACGAATTTAGCGGAAGACTCAATAGGTGGACGAATTTGGATTCTAGTGGGCGGTTTCATGGGTTAATGCACACCAATCATTATCCTACTAAAAAGTTCGTGTGCTGGATGCGACTGCTGCATGCAATCTTTTTAGATAAACTTTTGCGGGGCTTCTTTTTAAGAGACACAAATTATTTGTTCCCGTCGCAGGTAGAAAACCTGAGGTCACGTTTCTCACGTAACTCTGATGCCCATACTTAATATCAACTGATCATCACTGCTTTTGGCTTCTAAACCGTAGGCGATTTTTGCTTCGAATTTGTCCATTGCACCTGTCTGGTTTGAAAATTTTTTCGAAGAACTTCACTCAATACCACGGTTTCGAAACTCAACCTATGAAGTGAATTACGCTTACACTCATCAAGATTTGATTTCAATGATTCAATCAGATTGTCAATTTTGTCGAAAAATGAGCCTTGATCAAATGCTGTCGATTTTTTTTGGTACAAGGAATTATTTCATTCAGGTTGACTTCATCCCAACCTTTTAGAACCTTTCCTGCTTTTTTGGTTCCCATAATTGCCTATTGCAGTCATTTCGTTCTTGTAAATCACTCTATTCAAATTAACTTGCAATTTTGATTACCACTCTTTGAAAGTGAGCAAGAATCTGAAGCAAAAAAAACTGCAAAAGATTTCACTTCCTAAGCTGTTGCCTATCACTACTTGCAGACGGCCATATGAAAAGAAAATGAGTCAATTTTCATCACATAATGCTAAACGTACTGAAATTAAATCATTGAACTTTGCTGTTGCAGAAAAACCATGCGTTTTGTGAAATTGTCTTTGGAAACACGTGATCTACGGACAGAACTTGTGATGCCAGAATACTACCTCCAAATGCACAAGATGTGGTAAACGTAAGTTGAGTAGTAATTTCTAGAACCGCAGGACACGCTAAACATGAATTCTAAAAACTTGAAATCCGGCCAGAGGCCCGAATCAAATCTACACGTGTAATGCAGACTCCTGAATCCCTCAGGTTTTTCAAAAATGAATTCTGAACATGTGACTGTTTTTTCGGCAGTTAGCTTTTCTGAATGACAAAAGAGGGTGGACAACTATGCGTGACACACAGGCATACTGTTTAAAAAAAGCAACCAAATATTACATCGTATAAATTAAGGGCGTTGAAGGTGGTGGTTTTGCATTGCATTTCCTTACGTACACCTTACAATCAAAGTAAAAGTTTTCTTGGGGCTTAACCTTTCTCAATGTCCATAACGAATAAAATTTTGCTTCAATGCTGATGATTTAACATAATTTTTAAAAGATTACTTCATTTCCACTCTGCATTAGACATAATTTCCTAAAAATCACTTCACCCTCTGTCAATTCGGCCTGAATTTCTTGACGTTTACTTTGCATTCACAGAAGAAAAGTAAGTTTAAACAAAGGTGAACCAAAGCAAAGTAAACTTTAAGTTGCGAACATACTGTTGTGTTCTGTAGATGAAGTTAACGTTTGGTGGCAATTTCAGACTGTCGGGTTCAAGCATGTGGTTAGCGGTAGATGAAATATGCGGTCACTTATGGTTTAAGTGTAAAGTCACCTGTAGAGCAGGGGCAGGGGATTGATGTTAGAATAAAGTTGAGTGAATATGGGTGGATAATTGCGGATTTATCGAGGTATTATTTCGATGGGCGAGGTAACATTCTTATGGAGAGCGCAACTGATTATCAGTTTTGTGAATGTTCGAACGCGATGATAATATTCAATGCAGTCTGGTTTAATTTGAGATGGAAACACTGTTTCTTTTCATCGTTTTGTACGGTTGGTGCGAATTTGAGTAAGGTATGCAATATTGCGGCTTACAGAAATTACAGATTGTGGAAGAATGACGGATGTTGAGTGAATGTGCAGAGTGGTGGAATGTCTTCACAAAATATTTTTAGAAATCACTGAATATTTGAGCAGTGAGAATATTGGACGATTGGTCGAGCCTCAAGTACATCAGCTTCATGACTTGTAATGTTATCGGCGAGATGCTCGATGTTACCTTGATAATTCTTTTTCTTAAATTAGCTCCATGATTGTGATCGCATCAACGACAAAATTTAATATTCAATGTTATGCTATGTTAAGCAGGAAAATGACGCCAAAGCAAGGGAAACAGTTAGAATAGTGCTATTTCAAACGACTGCTAGAAGTGACATCGATAGGACGTAGAAGGATGCATGTGACACTTGAGAGTTGCTTGTTGATGAGCATAGGCTTAAGGTTGGATTAGTGGCATGCTGGAAGTGTCAGAAGTATACTGTTTTCGGTCAATTTCGAGATTGTAGCAGCAGGGCTTTCTTGAATCTGTATGGCATTAGCGCTCTTACATACTGTTCTGCATCCAAATTGTGTGCGCAAAATTTCGGATGATGCAGACGCAACAATCCAGATTACGTCGTCTCTTGTTAGATATCCACCCTTTGTTTGTCGGGCAGTGGTGACTGCATCTTAAATTCATTTTTAATTTTTCAAAAGGTAAAGGATCGAAACTTGAATGATGATGATTTTGAACTTGCTTCGGTGAATCTAAGCCACTGAGTGTTCGTATCGTTTATAATAACTTTGCAAAACATTGCTTTTGTTATCACGTTTTGAGTCGCTTATATGATCTCCGTTTTAATATAATGCGTCATCACTTGAATTTAGCTTGTGATTGCTGTTTGTTACCCGTAAATAATCTATTGTTTTCTGTTATATTAATTAAGATATTTCCTGTCTCAAAAGTTTTGCAGGTAGCAATCTTTGATTCAACTTTTCTTCGTAAGAATATGGTTTTGATGATAAGTGATGATTATTCTCTCTCTTCACACTTATCAGAAGCTGGCTCGAAATTAGTTGTGATCGATTTCTATGCTGATTGGTGCGGTCCTTGCCGATACATAGCACCGATTTTCGAGCAGTTTTCTCAGCAGTATACTGAAGCTGTGTTCGTTAAAGTCAATGTCGATCTTTGTCGTCGTTAGTTCTTTCACACTTGTGTTTGCTTGTTTAATTGCGTTATCTTTTGATAATTACTAATGAATCCTCCAATTTGTGCTTCCCAATTTTAAACTAAACCAACAATTGGGTGGCTATAAGCATCGAGTCGTCTATTAACTGTCGTTTACTGACAATTTATGAATTTGTTCACATGCTAAGTTAAATAATATGATATATCAATTTCAGAAACGTCAGCTGTATATGGAGTGAGTGCGATGCCGACATTCGTTTTTGTGAGGAACAATCAAGAAGTTGATCGTATGATGGGTGCCGATGTATCTGAGTTGGAACGAAAAATTATGCAGCATTTATCGAGAAATACAACCTCTTTAGATTCTCAGAAGGTTGCAACGCATCAAGAAAGACAGTTTCTGGAGAAGTTCGTACAGTTCTCGCATCGAGTAAGTGCATACCATTAATAAATGTTCGAATACGTTTATGAAATCTGCTTCTGACATATATAATTTAGATGGAGGTCTATGAAGATGAAGTGGCACAGACACTTGCACTTAGTGTTATGCCTTCAGAAAAGCTAAAAGAAAAAAGTTGTAATCTTGGTGAAGTGAATCAACTTGAATTACTCAAAAATCTGTTACGTTGGTTCAAAGTTGACTTTTTCAACTGGGTTGATACTCCCAAATGTGAAATGTGTGGCACTGTAACATCATCATCTTCGAGTGAGTTTTATTCATGAAAATTTTTGATTTCAATAGAAGTTTTACGTTTTATTGACTTGGATTTTTATGTTTTTAAGCGGTTTTTTGAAACTTACTTTAATGAAATAAAAAAAATGAAAATTTTAAAAAACGAATGAAAATGAAATAGAAGCAATTTAGTGAAATAATTAAGGTTTGTAATGTTTCTTTGAATATTACCAGTGGTAGAGCCAAGGGGGGGGGGCAAAGGTTGCCCCCTCTCCTCCCACTCCCTGAAAGGTGGAAGAAAAAGAAGAGAAAAGGGAGGAGAATGTGAAAAAAGGAAGGGAGAGGAGGAACAAAATAGAAAAAAACAAACCTGGAAAGGGCCATCTCAAAATTTAGTAATTTTTATGGATCGGATTATTCTGCGATCCCCTCCCTTCCTGGAAAAAATGTTGGTTATGTTGGTGCAGCTAAGGTTCGTTTTGTGACGGTAAGGTTGAAGTATGTCGGAGATTTGTTGAAGGAATAAAAGGAATGCCAACAGATGAAGAGAAAGAGTTTGGTGCTGATCGGGTAGAGGTTTATAATTGCCAGCACTGTTCGAAAGAGGTTCGATTCCCGCGTTACAATGATCCAGTCAAACTCCTCGAAACCAGGTCAGCAATTCTTATTCTAGCTTGATTTGATTCATCCCAAAGACTTACACTATAATTTGTCACGTTTTCGTGCTCATATTGTACTCTTCAAGTTTTATCAGTGATGAAAGTTCGGTAATTTTCGTGTGCACTTTACGTTTACTGATGTTTAATGTGTTCAAGGAGGGGTCGTTGCGGAGAGTGGGCGAATTGTTTTGCTCTGTGCTGTCGAGCTCTTCAATTCGAAACAAGGTCGTCATTATTTTTATCCTTTATGAATTATGCTTTGGTATTAGATCTGTTGTTTTTGCTTTCTTTTGTGTCAAACTTACAAGATAAAAAATCGCATTAATTTATCCTCCAGACACTCGTAACCGTAGGTCTTTGGAATTATGGGAAATACTGAATAAAAAAATTTGTTTCATATAAAAGCGTTTCCGTGAAGGAGGAAAATTTTTTCTTGTATTAGTAGAAGACGTTCATAGTGAAATGATTTTGATTTGTATAATCATTGCATTAGCAGTAATTTCACAGGGAGCGAAATGGATCTGTAATTATGTTTTTTTTCTCGTTTAATGTGTTCGAATTTAATTCAGATGGGTTCATGACGAAAGTGATCACGTTTGGTGTGAAGTTTGGATGAATGATATGGATAGATGGATACATTGTGATCCTTGTGAAAACGTTCTAGATACTCCTCTTTTGTATGAAAAGGTTTAGACTGCATTCGAACCAGTTTGACATGATTTATGGCTCTAGTTCAATACACTCATTCAACTTATCACATTCATTTCGGTGATTGTAATCTAAGTCTTCCTCACTCTATCCCTTTTTTAAAATTAACAACTCAATGATAGTGTCAGATGAAACCTACCTATTCTTGATTCATGTTTATCATTACTATATTCGCATGAAATAGTAAAAATTGAGGGATGGGGTAAGAAGCTTAATTATGTAATCGCATTTGGATTGGATCACATTCGAGATGTTACATGGAGGTATACATTCGACCACCTGAAAACTATCAAAAGAAGAACTGCATGCAGAGAAGCAATTTTGCGCAATTTCTTTAAGGTTTATGTTTTTTTGGTTATTAATGATAAGAAAATGTTTTAAAATTTGTTCAATCAACGACTTGTGTTTTTGTAATACCGAATGTTGCACTTTTCAGAAACTGAATGCTCGCTTCGAGCGAGTGATGACAGCAGAAAGAAAGAAGGAACTAGATCGACGTTATTTAAACGAACTTATCGAGTTTCTCAGCCCGAATTTGCAATTACGTGGTGAAAGCTCGAGCGAATATCAAGGAAGAACTACGGGTTCTGTGGAGTGGCGAGAGAAAAGGAATGAATTAGGTGTCAAGTCGGAATCATGTAAATCCACTTCGACAATACTGAGACCCAACGACAATGAACTTGCCGACAAAATTTTCAGGCAGGTTTTAACCTGATTTTTCATTGATTGCGTCTTGTGATATTTCGAAGTTGATTTGTAGAATCAATAGATGAATGCGTGCATTGATCGTTTTCCAAGAAAGATTTTCACCGATGAACTGTGAATAATGATTAACGGATCGAATATCACCATATGTCGTTTCGCTTTTTTAAACATCATGAAAAATAAGAATCTTCTCGGATATCCATATTGTTTCAGTTTTTGTTTTACAGACTGGAATATAATTGTGCCAAAGATGAATATAAACGAGGTGAAAATGTGATAGGAGGATGGGAGAATCTTATCAGTAAGCACAAAGATGTTTTTCGTAAAGAAGAAGTAGATTGGAAGATGTGCTATTTGTGTCGAAGAGAGGGAAAGTCTAATGGCGAATTATGTTGGTCCTTTGATTTGGACGGACTTAGCATCAAGACATTTTCAGTTCAGCTAAACGGAATTACCAAATATGAAGACGTAGGTTTTTTAAAATTTCAATCTAAACTTACGTTTTGAATTAATTTTTAAATTTTTTGAATGTTAGCTGCTTCCTCTGGTTCAGGACTTGTAGTTCATTTCTGAGACGTCCTCTTTGTTAGTTTCATTATCACTGTTAAGCTTTAAACGTTTCTGCTTTTTGACAACAGTACGGCGATATGATCGTTCATTATGCAATCCAGTTCGACCTTTTCTTTTTCACATTCTATTCTCTGTTCAAATGATGTGCTTTTCCATGTTATATCCGTGGTATATTTGCTTTTATGGTACGTCGAAAACAATGTTTTCAATGTCATTAGTTAATTTGGTTTTTGTCTTTGGATGGTCAATGCAGCTTGATATTGTTTCCAATGAAATGCGACAATGAGCTATGAAATATGGAAAATTTCAAATATCTGCTCAGTTTGAATGAAATCTGTTAAGCTTTTAACGCACTTCAGTTCAGAGTAAGAATAATTTCCGATGTGTTCTTTTTAGGGTAATATACTGGTATTGGTTTGTTGTGGAGATACTTGCAATATGTTGCCTGAGTCAGGACATTTAACGATCGAATCGCCGAAAGATGGTCGTATCGATGTGAAAGTTTTGTTCTCTGGTGGAATTGGTCAGTTAGCTTGGCAACACGCGCAACTTTTTAGGAGTGAATTGAAATCGTGTGAGGCGGATTTTATCGTTGATATTCAACTCAATTGATCGATTTAAGTTTATTATGAAATTGAAGAAGATGTTGTGCAGTTCAGTTTATGAAGATGTTCTTAAGATTGCTTCTTCGTTTATTTTCGAATTGATTTCACCTGAGTTATCTAAAGTACTCATGCGCAAATACGGTGATCATTTTCTTCGTTTTCGTTTAATTGGTTTTTTGTTCATCAAAATCAACTGCTGTCATTGGCTGTGATATGTTTGATGTTATCCGTTTATTCATGTACGTGCATATAATCAAGTGAGTTTTTCTTCTTCGTTCATTAATTGAATGCAGTTAAATTCATTCACAAGACCGTTTATTCAGAAGTGGTGGTTGTTCTAATATATTATTGGTTATCTTTTGTCTCGTCTTTCAGCAATTCAATAAATATCATTCATTTTCAATCGGAGCTATTGTCTTAAAGCCTAGTGCACATTCCTCTTCCGTAACAATCACATAATAAGTTTTCTCTTTTGTTTTGATGCAGCTATTCACTTTATTCGCCTCATTGAACCGTGATCAACCGTGATGCGTCGCATCCAAGAATTACTCGTTTTTGTACTTTATTTGTTCATTTTATTGGATGCCATTTGGTAGATTCTCACTGTGATGCATCTCAAAATAGTTTGCTTTCACAAACGGCTAGTCAAGTGACTTTCACCTCATCAAAAAAAAAACGAGTTTGAACCGTATTGAAAAATCTCATCTACTTGTGTGCGAATCGATGAAGTCATTCAGTGATAATATGCAAATAATTCACTTTTGTCATTGCTCTTCGACACGACACCACGATTAAAAATTTTCTCATGATACTCATATTAATTAAAGACTAACCGGTTACAAAAAAAAATAACCGCACGATTTGATTCATTCTCAACGAATCGTTGTGGCTTCTTCGCAACCAGTAGATCCTTCTGAATATGAAACGATTCGTAAGCTCGCTACTGCAAGCACCGTAAACCCGAAACTCAATCGTTTCAATTTCTGCATTCTTTGGTGGCACTCCAATTCGGTAAGCAGAAATTGAAAAGCAAGTTTAATCATTACCACTGAATGAATATCACTTTCGGTAATAAAATTTTCTCAAATCTGCTAACTCGACAATAATATTAATAGTTGCATTTTTCTTTCTGAACTGCATATAAGCATTTCAGAAACAAAATGACATTTGTATGTTCAACATTTATTTTGTGAGTGCTTCTTGTGACTGAAAAGTTCAATGTCATCTATCCATTCACTGGAAAAAATCAAACAAATTCAGTTCTATTCGTTTACCACCATCGATTTCTGAACATCATATTTTGCCATGTGAAGCATGCTGTAGTTGCTTAAGGTGGTTGTGGTGAGTTGATTAACAAGAGCTCTTTCTTTCAAATATCTGCCATCTCTTGGTAGACTGGTTCAAGCCTAAGCCATAAATAAATATGCCTCCATTATTTTTGTGATGACGTTTGTTGTTTATGATTATTTTGTATGGTGAGGTTGTGATGGAACTGTAATGGTTAATTGATTTTAATGATTTGAGTAATGCAAAGGTGGGCAAAAGCATGCTACTCCGCTACTAGGCGCATGCTATACGCCTAGTAGCGGAGTAGCTATTCCGCCATTTCGCTAACTTACATTAGTTGGGGAACTTAGCGAATAGCGCGCCATTGCCCACCTCTGCAGTAATAGTTCATTTCTGCATATATGGTATTATGATATTTGGAATTAGTTCGGCGCTTATTTGGATAGATTTGTAATGATGCAAACGGGTTGAGGTGTGTTACAAAAGGCATGTAACATTTTTATGTAAATATTTACATATTATTCAGCTGTACTCAGTGAAATGCAAATTATCTATATTGGTGCGTGTAATTGTTAGTGACGTGTCAATGACGACTGCTTCACTTTAAACCAAAAACAACGTCAAACAATGGTCTTTTGGAACCTTTATCGTAGTGTGGTGCGGGAAACCATCACCGATAATCCCCGACTTATTTTCCGTCCTGGCACCACATCACTTTATCGTACCATTAATCCCAAACATACCGTATCCAATGATAAGTTGAAATTAGTGTGATTTGCTTTTGTATTGAATGATAATTTTTTAATTGATTCATTATTTCTCGATGGATTTCGCGTTTAATTCGAATGAGCAATTGATGTGATATGAGTTTGTGCATATACTTAATATTGGAGTGGTGCAGTTTGCGAAATAGGTATACATTTTTAAGGGATATGAATGGGTTATGAGTGCGATTTGGATGAGGTGTTTTCGAAGAAAGTGTCGATTGTCGGCAAAAAAACGTTTGTTCGTCGTTTTGGTATCCTTATTTTCCTTGTGGCTCACTGTTCTGATCTTGACTTGGATTGTTATTGCTCAGGAACAATTCACCTCGAACAATTTGCGTCCACCATTACAGGTAAATTTGGTTGGTTATTCAGATCGTTTATGTGGTTCGTTCGATTCTTTACTAACTCTTGACTGTCCCATTAAATTAGTCTTAAATCCTATTTAAAATTTGAATTCTAGTTGAGTCGTAGATATTCAAACCACTCATACGATTAACATATTCTTCATTACGTTAACAGAATTTTCATTACTTATTCAAAGAAAACTAACTTCAACTACTGCAGTATTCTATAAACAGAGCAGAATTCAAACTTAACTACATATGTAAATATCCACTGTTTTTGTCTTTAAGATGATTTTAAGTTGCAATTGAGTGACAGTCATCCGATTAAAAAGTAACAGTTACTAAACATTCCCCATAATGGTAATGTGTTTGTAATTTTTACTTCCTTAATAATTCAATGAAATAATTCAGTTGTGAGTATTTCGCAGATTCCTTTCGAAGAATATTTTATTCATGTGCAGTGTATGTAAATTTAATGATTTAAGGGTGATGACAAAGCTCGTAATCATGAACATGAATATTTAAACTTAAAAGTGTTCCAAGAGGAGAACAGTCAAGAACGCGGCATGATAGGCCATACCGTAGACCATGCTAAACGTGAGTAATTCATTAGAGTTAGAATGTAATTGCGTGTGAGTTTCTGCGATTCGGTTGTTTCGATAGGAGCAGTAATGAAAACGGTGGGTACTGATTGTTGGTCATGATGATAATTCTAATGGTGATACGAGTATTTTTAATATAAGAAGTACTTTCGTTGAAATTCTTCCAGATAAAGATTGTTCGCTATCAGATTCATTGTTAAATGCTTTTCCTGACTGTAAATCGAAATTGGAATGGATGCAAAGTGGTTGGAAAACACATTCGTGTTATGCACAGAATGGTGTAAATGGTTCACTGTGTTCATTTGTTATTTATTTATCGGAAGTGGAACATCATTGTCCGGTTCTTGAGTGGCGCAAAAGAATATTCAAACCACATGAACGGCAATATATTCCCGCTAAGGTTCTTTAATAAACTTTTAATTTCTATCAGTGTTTTCGTAATCTCTTTTCAGAAGCTCTGCATTTGATAGTCTAAGTTTCTTGAACTCAGAAAATTCAATTCATTCGCTTCGTTTTGTATACACTCATCTGTACCTATCATGAATCATAAACTGGATTTTATTCATTGATGATTGATCAGTGGTGTGCTTGGTTATCTCGTCTTCATTATGCTGGAAATGAGAATTATGTCTGAAGCATTATTTTTGTTTTTTTTTATTTCATTGGTTTAACGAGTTCAGATACAGCGAAACGTGAGTGCTCTGATGGATTTAATGTTCGATAATGATGTGAATTATCAGTTTATCAAAGGACGCATCTCGCGGTTGTGGCCAAGATGGCTGAGCGCTTATGACGATAATTTATTGCGATGGCCAAAAACCCTTATCAATAGACGAAAACTTAACGTATGTTCTTCCATCTTTATTCTTTGTCTAACAGTAGTGATCACTGTATCTTTATAAGATGAATCATTACTAAGAAGCGTTGCAGATTGTCATTCATATGGGTTTTTTGTCGAAAGAAAGTGGTTTCAAGTTCGGTGAAAAAGCAACTGCTGGTGGCCCACTTGGTGAGTTGGTTCAGTGGTCAGATCTTATATCAGCGCTCTATATTCTCGGTCATAATTTGTTTATCTCTACCGAATATGATGCTTTTAAACAGTATGTGTTAATGATTTGTTTATTTTGATATTTGAGGCATTGAGTTTCATTCTTGATTGAGTTTCGATCTCGTAGAGTTTCATTCTCTAAAGTGACTGAGGCATTGAGCAAAACAACTCGTGGAAATTAGCTAGGACAATCATATATAGTGCAGAATGAAACTGAAATTATTCCTCATTCAGATGGTGAAAGTTTCAAAAGTTCCTTCTCTTCCGTTCACAATCGGTGAAAGTTAATAACAATTTCATGCTTTTTTAGCTACCATTGTTGCAAGAAGGATCTTTTTTTTTTGGGGGGGGGGGGGGGGGGGGGGGGAGAGGGTTTCATCTCATTGCTTTTATCTGTGATTTTAAAATTCTATGAAATATTTTAGCAATATGGCTACTTTTTCCAACGTGACACCTTGTGATGTTAGTTCCAATCGAAGTTTGGGTGTTGTCTTCACGGACATCGTGGGTGTACGTTATATGCGTAGACATATGAAGCAGTTCTTCCTGGAAAAAAAGTAACTTTCACGAATGCAACTTTTGGGTAAAACACGTTAATTGAAATGCTACCGTGGTTATTAGTGTGAAGTTAAATGCGAATAACAACATTCATTGTTGAGTATTAGGGAGAGATCGTTCGATTTTAATGGAGCTGTTATCGAGTGCCTTCTAGTAATAATTGGATACTATATTTATTGTACTTAATTGACAGCCTTTTGTATTTGACGATTCAAAAAGAAATATCAGGTGTTTATTACGGGTGTTGGATTCGTTTGGAACACATGCAGAATTCAATTCACCGTTGTACTTTTCGACACACAAACACGAACTGGGTGGTCGTACAAATCCGTGGGGTGGGAACGGCCTCGAGTTGCAACAGTTTATGACCATGTATCCACACACCGACGATAATACGTTTCTTGGGTTCGTTGTCGAAACGCATAGTGTTAACGAGTCATCAGTGAGAACGAATGATACATTGGTATTTAATTGACCGATTACTCCTATATGTATTCGCTTGTTCACTCAGTCATTTCGTTTTTGATTAGAAACAGTAGTTAAGTTTTGTTTTTAAGGCATCGGTTTGTGTCAATGTAGCCACTTCTTCCAGCATAGCATTCTGTGACGTTAATTTCAACCGATCGTTCATTTGTTTGTGAAAAACTGAAAGTCTGCTCTGATTTTAATCAAAATCACTTGACCAATTCAATGAGCAACTGTTGATTGTCTGAAAAAATTCTGCACCAAGTGCATGGATAACGATTACCATAAAATACTGCTCAAAATCTCATTGTTTAGACTGAATTCGAGGTTGTTTAGACTGAATTTAATCAGGTTATATTCAGTGACGGAACTAAAATAAATAAATTTAGCTAATTCTAGGTTTATGGGAAAGAAATTTATATGTGGAATGGATCTGAGAAGTTGCTGGATAAAGTGAACGAGCTGAGTCAACTTCACGCAACAGTCGCTGACATGAATGAATTTGCCACTCAGCGAGTTTTTAATCATGGTCTGTTGAATGGTTTCGAGTGGCATTCTTTACTGCGACGAGTGAAGATATTCCTTGGCCTCGGATTTCCCCTTGAGGGACCTGCACCACTGGAAGCAATTGCGAATGGTGCAATTTTCATCAATCCAATATTCAAACCTTCAAAATCACGCAAATCATATGCATTCTTCGCCGAGAAACCTACGCTTCGTGAGGTGCTCGTTTAATTTGTTCATCCATTTTTAAAGTTTCTTTATGAAAATACGCGTTTGTGAGCAATTTCTTTGGAATATGATCGTTGCTAAGGAATCAATTCGTCAACGTGCTTTTTTGCGTGATACCAATGTTGATCGTTCAGTTAACCAGTCAAAATCCATACGTTGAACGATTTATCGGTCGTCCACATGTGATCACAGTTGATATTACGAATATGAGCGCAGTCGAGAAAGCAGTGCGTGAAGCTCTTTCTTACGAGGTTCATTTTCTTTTATACGTTTGCCCCACAGCATCACAACAATTGCGTATTTCGCATTCACTTACCATTACAGCATGTTCTTGATCAACTGGTTCTGATCTGGCTAACTGATTCCAAACAAACGAAAGTTCGCGCTCTCTTTTCGTGTATCTTTCAGATTTACATTATTTACTCGACTTTGTTTGTTTTTTGAATTGAATCGTTATTTTCAATGAATTCTTATTTCAATATTTCATCTTTAAGTCGATCCCGTATTTACCTTTCGAATTCACTGCGAGTGGTATGTTGCAACGTGTTAATATTCTTATCAACAAACAAAATTTTTGTGGCAAATCAGCGTTTCCACCTAATCAAGCACTAAAAGTTGTTTATGCAAACCGGTCGCAGTCTTGTGAAAAGGCTTGTAGCACCAATGGTAACAATATATTATTATTATTATTTTATTACTTTCAGTGTTGATAATAAATTGATCGGTAATTTTGTTAAAAAATTTTTCCTCTACGCTTGATTGCATGTTAATAATTGTTGCTCAGTATTCAGTGATAAATACATTGTTATAGGCTTGATTTGTGAACGTTCGTTTTTCGATCTTCTTAATCAAGACTCTGTTGTGAATAGGTTAGTTTTTTTTGGAATTTGAATTTTGAGTACACGCTGGATGCCCACACAGATTCTCGTTGATGCACATTTCTGGCTGTTTTCGGAGTCGAGTCCAAACTGCAAAGTTTCACCTTTCATATCGACCTTCTTACGACAGTGATTAATTCGGGTGGTTTTTGTATTTCAGAACTAATGATTGTGAAGAAATCAAGAAAATTGCCTCTCCACTCGCGCCATATAAGTGCCATATTCAAGCTGAACGAATGCTGTTCAGTTGTGCATCTGTACCTCATGATAGTTGGACCGAGCGTATTTGTCCGTGCCGAGATTTCATACGAGGTCAAAATGCACTGTGTTCGCTTTGTTTGTTTTGAATTTTTCAATTTTGAAATTACGTCATTTGTTCTCTGTATACTCTGTTGTCTAAAAATTATCTATTTTCATTTCATTTGTTGCCCGATTCTTTCATAAGTTATTCATACTAGTAACACTGATCATTCTCTGCTTAGCGGTCTTTCTGTTTTGAAGTCGTTAAAATTGTTAATAGATATGTGTTTGTGGCGTAGGAAGTTTTCGTTTTGAGAGCTTTGTGCAATGAACGATGTATCATTCCCCATGTTACTGTTATCTTCTGATACGGGTTTTTCATACATATCTTCAAACACCTATTTATATATACAGGTCGGTTCGGACCCTTGCGCAAGTTTCATGCTTTCATTGAATCTCAGAATCATGGAATTTATTGAAAATCAACGCAAGATCGTTTCTATTCTGATGTTTAATTACAATTCATAATAAAAACTGCTTAACAGAAAATCGTCAAGAAAATCAAGTGTTCCTTTATAAATGCTCACATAATTCAATAATGATTCCATCTTCCGACGACATTTCTCACATGTTTATTGCTTTAAATTGTTTATTTGTTCTACTTTTGCTGACTATTCTTAAGGAAATTGTTGTTAAGGGAACTATTCTCGTTATTGTTGTTCAGAAGATCAAATGATCAATCGCATATCACTCGTAAGACTCATAAGTGCTCTTTGATAAATTGATTCATTGATATAGGTTTCTTTCAAACGTTCTTATATTTATCATTATTTTATAGTCTTATAAGAAACCATAGTTTACTGTTCACCATTGTGTAGTAGCATTACCTTATTGCTATTGTTCTTGCGCAAATTGTGATTATTTTTTCTGATCGTTCGCTGTGTCACTGACGTTTCTGAATTTGACAGCGATTGTCAACGTTTCGATTATCACCCGAGGAAATTTGAATTTATTTACAAATCTGTCTAGAATTCATACAAATATTTTGGATACCGATTTGATATAATATACGAAGTATAAATAATATGCCACGTGATGAGATGATTCAGAATTTGCTTGATGAATCTGTTTTGTTGTTCTCTTATTCCAATGTGTATTTCACCGTATTACATCGAAATTGTTCTGATTCACTTGCTTTGTGGTCTACATACAACAGGATCTGTTCACTGAAATCAGATGGTCGTTTGAAAACCATCAGCGATCACTTTAGATCATGTGTTCAATTAACCAGTAGTTGAAGATGCGATTATTTAATTTGCTTGTTTGATCTAGAAGCCGATCATGAGCGTGAACTTGCCATTAATAAGTCACCGTTTTCGTTCGTTTCATTCTCAAATATTATTATCTCTCAGTAGAAGAATGGGATATGAATATCAAAGGATGACTGTGACAACGCAGAATGTGACACACTGATAATGACAACAATGAATATATTGACGTAAACAGTGTTGGGCGCGTTATCGCTATTATCCCCGGAATTGATAGTGGAGCACTATCGCCTACTGTAGGAACATCATTACGCCACTGAATGATTGAAAATTTTTATTGATGAACATGCATTCTTGATGTAAATATGGAAACATTATAGAAATAGAACCCACCTCTACATCTGAACAGACAACTGCAGAATCCGCCTCTACATGTAAACAGACAACTACAGAATCCGCCTCTACGTGTTAACAGACAACTACAGGATTCACCTCTACACTTGATCCAACTGCTACAGACGTTTTTTCTTCAAATCGCTCGCAATAGCTCGATAGATTCGAATTTAGTGCAGTTTTGCAGCACAAATATGTATTTATTATAAATACCTCAATGATTAAGGGACTATACATTCACTTGCAGATGAACTGATAGCGGAAGATAGCGTAAGTCCGCTATCGAAGATGATAGCGCTGTTATCGCTATTCCGCTAATAGCGGAATTCGAGTGGATAGCGGAATAGCGATAGCAGTGCTATCGTAGCGGAATAGCGCGCCATCGCCCAACACTGGAGGTAACCGATAAAATGATTTGTCATTGAAGCTATACTTATTGTTCAAGTGAATGCTCACAATTCTGTAGAATACTGACAATGAGTAGGAATTTATGAGTGCAGTCGAAGGTGCTGTGCTGCATCAAATGTTTAATGCAACCGATGATTTTAAAAATATCGTAATCAGTATACCAAAAAAAAAAACACCAGCTCAACAAAAGGAAAAAACCGTGGATGAGCCCTCGTATTGACATAATTTACTGTTTGTCAAAAGAATACATGAAAGGACGAAAAAGCTCCAAATATATTTTGAAATACGAACTCTCCGAGAATGTGATGAAAGCACGAGGAAGAAGAAGAAGACGATGAGGAGGAGGAGGATGATGATGAGTCGGAAGAGGATTAGGGTGGGTTAGAGAGATGAGATGATTTTGAAGGCACGGTTTTGCGTATAGGATTCAGTTCATGGATAAAGCAGTTATCGCTTTGTTTATAAGTATGGCTAGATCTCTTTTTTGTTCATTTGGAGAAGATTGAAAAATAGCGTAATTTGAGGAAATAATAGAATACGGTGCGTATCAAATAATGAATGGATTCGATTTAAATGATTTATTTCGTTTTTTTTATTGCTATTGTCCGTATTTTTATCATTGCAGTTATCAGTTTTTCTGATAACATTATTATGACGACTAATGTCATTGTTATTGTTGTTGTTATTGTTTTTCGATTGTAATTTTTTGATTGTCTATTTGAATGAATTTATTGCACTGCAAATGTAATACCACCAATCTCTTTCATGTTCGTTTTTCAAGCGTATTTATATGTACTCGTTGCAATTCAGTTATTATATTAGAAGAACAGTTAGAATCTGGTGTATCACCCAGTTTTTCAGTGGGGTTGATATGTTTTTGTATAGCAAGTGCTGTGGTTGTTTTGTATTTACTGTGCACCAAAGCGTCTTTTCGAAGCAAGCGTTTCGCATCCGTTTGAATGTTTGGTAGGAAGAAGTTTAGTGGGATGGAAGGAAGCGAGAAAAGAATGTCTTTTCCATTTCATAATAGTTTATCTTGTT